GTATCAGTTTATTTCCCCCACATTTTTGTTTCAAATGCTGAAAACCGCAGGTTGATAGCTGCTTCCGTTCTCGAGATATTCAAAAAATACTCGCGTTCATCGTATTTTGGCGGCGACAGTAGTGCCAGTTCTCATTCAGACTAGTCTAGACTCCTCAGACAGTCTCTTTTGCTTGAACTTAATTATCCGGATAACTCGTTTAGACCTGTTTGTATCGAGACTAGAACGATGTATCTAACGAGAGTTGCCTATTTATGTCCTCTAAGTTTTTAGATTGTAATAACAATTAAGAATAATTTATTAGAAACATTAATTTTAGTATTTTTCTATAAGAATATTATTTTATTTTAATATAAAATCTGATAATTTGAAGTTAAAAATAGATTTAAAACATAGAATTATAGTTTATTTTCAAATTTAAATTGGAAATATTTTAAATTAAGATAAAAGTAAACCATGATATGAAAAACAAAATTTTTGCGGAAATATATATTATTTTTATTTTGTTTTGAAATGTTAATTTGTTTTTCAAATAGAGAATAATATTTTCCAAGTGTTGACGATCAAAAAAATTTTCTTTTGAAGGAAATCAAAAAAATTCTGAATTAATTTTGTTTAATCTTATTTAACTAATTTTCGATTTTATAATAACTATTTTTTATACATATTAAAACTTGAAAAAACGCTGAGTCAAACTGTGTTAATTAGTATCTTAGAATGTGTATTGACATGTAAAAGTTGATCATTCGATCATATGGTTCAATCGGATAAACGATGGGTAAGTAACACATTGCATTCATGTTCCAATCTAACTTTCTGCACATATTTCTATGATTTAGACTAGTCCGGACTAGACCACTACATAAGACTACAATCCGATAGATGTCGTGTCACAGACACACTTCCTCTTTTGATTTAAAATCTATTTTGGACGGGTCCGGACGCGGGCTAAAGATTCCAAGCGATTTCGGACTAGTCATGTAGTAGGACTTTTTGAGAAAAAGACTAGACCGGACGTATAGCCACGGCTGGAAAAATGACTAGTCTTTTCACCCGTCCTTTGCTCGCCTGGGCTATTCTTGGTATTTCAATGTCGTCAGTTGAAAGACTGAAGAGAGAAATGAGAGGACAGGAAAAAGATATGTTAGAAAAACAAAACGAATTGATTGAATTACAAAAGAAGCGGGATCAAGAAAAGCAAAATAAAGAAGATGCGGCGATTCAAGCTACTGTTCGGCTTCGAAATCCACGTACCAGATCATCATCATCAACATCATCATCTTCGTCAGTTACTGCTGCATCCAGTTCCACTGTAACAACATTTATGCCTGTTGCTAAATCATCACGAAAACGTGGTAATTCCGGTCGTTCTCCTATCCTTTTGACAGAAAGTCAAAAAGAAAATGTTCGGTAGGCATACTCACCAGAATACACTGTTTAATATATATACACTATTTATAGTTACCATGTTCATCTGATGTTGGCTGAGCCGATCTACCCAACCGTCGATAAAGTTCTCACTCGAATTTTGAGTGACGATCCTGATTTTCCGATTCGTTCGACGTCGTCGTTATGGCGGTGGATGAAAAAATTAGGTTTTGCGTATAAAAGAACAACGAAAATTGTTGTTCCCCTTGATTCTTCGTTTTACATGGCAGGTCGTGCACGTTACTTTTCGAAAATCGATGAACTACGAAACAATGAAACAGTCGTTTTTTGGCATGATGAAACGTGGTGTAATCAGAACGAAAAAAAAACCTTCGTGTGGACTGATAGAGATACTGGTATTGGTCGTTTACGACAGAGTAATGGCAAAGGTACAATTTCTCTTTCTTAAAAGCTACCTACAATTTTTTTCTCCACAGGTTCACGTCTTGTTATTTCTGCGTTGATGGGTAATGCAGGTTTTCATAGATCATCTATTGATATATTTGAATCCACTGAAGATAATCGTATGGACTCATCACATTTTTTTGGCATGGATTGATCGTACTGCTTCTCTTCTTCGAAAAGAATTCGGTAATAATCACTTGTTTTTATTTCTATTGTTACGTTTCAGTTTAGGAATATATACTAAAATCGTTTTGGTA